TATGATAAACAAGTTACTGTACACGTAGACTTGTCACGTCCTATGACCCTGTGTTTGTGTTTTTGGACTTTTAATTTCTGTTTTGTTTTTTGTTTGTTTTTTGTTTCCACTTCACTCATTACCTTAGTTTGCCTGTGTTCCATTATGTTGTACTGTTTTTCATGTCGTACTGTGTTACTTTGTATTATGGGGGTTTATCCAGCTATATTCAAATGGATTGCTTTGTTTTAAAACTCTGTCTTTGCATCCTGCATTTGAAGTCCTCATTCCTCACTATCACACTCCACATCATGACAGAAGGGGACTACAAGAAAAAAAGTCCAAAATACAACATAATATATACCTTGCAATACAGAATAGCACATGGGAAAACAGGCAGGCCAGGAAACTGTGGCTCAGGAGGTAGAGCCGGTCATCTACTAGTTGCAAGCTTTGTGGTTCAATCTCTGGCTGCTTCAGTCTGCATGCCAAATGTCCTTTGGCAAGACTATGCATAGATGCAGAGGTGAAAATCTAAACAATGCAAAAACTAAGAAATAAACAGAACTTGAAAGTCCAAGAGTCAGACTCAGCCTGCTGGAGGTTTCTTCCTGTTAAAAGAAAGTTTGTCGCTCTTTGGCGACAGTTGGAGGATAAAGTCTGATGGATCTTATGTCTTGCTTCAAGTTTCAAGCATGACTGTTAGTGTAGGTAGGGTTAGGAAAACAAATTATATTTACATTATATTTATATTGTAAAGTAATGTCTACTTTACAATATAAAGCACCTTGAGGTGACTGTTGTTATTTGGCCCTGTATAAATAAAACTGAATTGTATAAATTGAAAACACAAACACTGGTCATAGGTCATTCCCATATTCTGCCTCCAGGATGGAAGTTATATGTCAGTGGGATTTAGGAGATCCTCAAAGTATTACTTTCATCACCACACCATATCATCAGTGAAGTCAGCAGTGCTCCAGCTGCACTGTACACTATGTAAATATGTGTAGAGTGTGGCTTTCTCCTCCTAAGTTGCCTGACGTAACCAGAATCACTTCAAGGCTGACAGTCTCATTCTATGGCCTCAATGAATTCTTCCCACACCCAAGATTTTGTTTGAGCCCAAGTGCATTTTGGCTGCTGATACTTGTCAGCTGTTTTCAGTCACACAAACTAACCAAGCCCAATAACACTGCTTTTCAGGTAGATTGCTCCCTTCACAACCGCTTTCCACCATCTAGTTTGGGGATTGCCACTATGACAAGGTCAAGGTCAAGTTTTTTTTTTATATAGGCACGAACCACATTGCAGCTACAGCTCTGCACAACAGTGGAAGTACAGAACATAGTGTCCCCAGCCTTCATTGGAATGCTGTCAAAGCTCTGGGGGTTAAAGATCTCACAGGCCAGGGCTTCTGCCAGAAGCTCCCAGTCCACGCTCACTATACGTTTGGTCATGCCAGGCATGTCTACCATCCTCTCCTGCCACCTAATCCAACCTACCACTAGGTGGCAATTGATTGACAGTTCAGTTCCCCACTGCACCCACATGTCCAGAGCCCATTGTTGCAGATATGATGATACAATTACAAAATCAATCATTGAGCGATCTAGGATGTACCCAAGTACCCAACCAGGTGAGGTACTGGCAGCTGCCCCACCTGGTTGGATGACTCCAAGACTTCTTTGCACTTTGAATATCATTCAGCACAGCTCAGATGAGACCTCCCTGTTGCCTCAGTCCCTGACACCAGCTGCACCAAACCCCTATTATGCCTCGTGCAGATAGCGAGCACACAAGAGAACAGGCCAACGTTCCCACATAGCAAAATTGGTATGGCCCGGATCTGGCCCACACAATGTGCTTACACATGGCCCACATACTGCAAAGAATGATGGCCCTTTGGTGGCCCAGATCAGGTTTGCCAGAGGTGGCCCACACATGGGCCTGCACAAGGCCAGTTGCAGACACACACAGTTTTAGCTCTGGCCCCAGATGTCAGCCTGATGTGTACCTTAACCAAGCCATGTAATAACAACGTGTGCCGGAACATAATAGTGCAAAAGTAACATGACAAAACTCAGACAGTGAATGGACTGATTCTTATATAGCACTTTTCTACTCTCATGGATTACTCAAAGTGCTTTATACAACATGCATGTCGTCTTTAAACGGAGTGATTCCTAACTACATTTATACTCCTGACATGCAGGCTGGAGAAGCCAGGGATTCAACCAATAACCCTTTGATTAGTAGGTGATCTGCTCTACCTCCTGAGCTACAACCACCCAGTAATAAGCATGAGTAAACCTCACTAGGTTTTGGCTAAAGTGTACACTCACAAACCTGTCAAACCTGCATTTGAAACATTGGCTACCATAGCAGTATAGTATTGTAACATGTCATTTGGGTCTTCTAACTAAAACAGGAAAATAGGAACATAAATAGTGCCATCATTGCCAGACCTTGCCCACATCTGGTTGACAGACACCCTGCCATGACACTAGTCAGTCAGAAGTGCCAGATCCGGGCCAGACCTGTTTTCTATGAGCCTGGGCCACATAAACCAAACCACAATTGGGACAGATGTGGCATGCCATCACATAAACAGTGCCATCTACGCCTGGCCCATATCTGGATGACATACCACTTACCATGCCAGAAGTCAGCCAGCAGTGCTGGCTTGATACCAGATCCAGGCCAAACCTGTCTGCTATGTGGGTTATCTCTTTGGGTTGCCACGGCCACCAGGCATTCTCCTTTAAGTTCCCTCCCCAGGTCTACTGGCTTCTGTGAGACTGTGCGAAATAGCTTGTTTTTCCCTTAAAAATAATTCTAGCTTCCCTTAAGGTGGTTTTTCTGTAACATGCAATAGGATTGTAGCTCAAGCCCTAAATCATTAACACCTTGTCCAATGACGCTGTCACTTCCATTAGTACAAAAGATAAATTACAGATCAGGGAATGTTCTTTATAATAGACCTGGCAGGTTCATTGATTATTTGAGATATATTTTAATTAGTGTTTACTGGTTCAGTATCTTGCCAAAGGACATTTTGATATGCTGACTGGAAATGCCAGGGTGCAAACAACCTACCTCGGAATTACCAGATGACCTTTTCTTCCTATTAGCCATAGCTGCTTATGCTATTGGCTTTAATCCTCTTCTGCCTCATCACTTGCACAAATGTATATATTAATAATTCCTTCTCTGTATCCTTTCAGACTCATTCCTCCCTTCACCGCAATAGTCACAGTTTAGATTCTCAACTTCAAACTCCTACTTTATCAGCTGTCTTCAGACATTCTTTCCTCCTCTCCTTGACTGTTGCTTCATAGTTTCTACCAGTACCCTCTTTATTAACGGTGCTGCTGGTGGCAACCAGTGCCTTGAATGATCTGGTAATCTAATCCAAGATCTATATTTTTTTTTTAAATGGGACTGTTTTTGTATCAGGATGGAAATATAGCATACATACAGGCTTAGAACCACCAAAACTGAACAAGCTTGTACAATTCCAGTTGGTAGAAAATATTTTAAAATGGCACTACCATTAAATGCAAATATGATTAAAAGGGACTCAAGACCAAGCATCAGTATGAGATGACACTGACAATGTGTGTGCAATCAGCTCCTAGTCTGGTTATGTGGAACATTATTATAGAGTAGGTACTAGTTTATTATAATAAAGGTATGCTGGTTTATAATGGATATTTATAATTGGAATTTGAGCAGCTCACCATTCTAAATATATTTCATATCATTCTAAGGTATGCCATAATACCCATAAAGTATTACTGGTAATCTGCAAAGGCATTAACCTAGCCCTTGACATATGTCTTACCAAATTACAAAACCTCTCACTTTCACTTTTCCAGCTACTCCGAGTTTAATTATGCAATCATTTTTCATTGCTGTAACTTTTACAAAAAAATCAAAAAAATGACCTAATCATTGCCATTTACTAGAATCACCCTGAAAGCTATCTCAAGTGTGAATGTTATGTTCAGATTCACACTTTTTACATAGGTGTAGATAGAGAAATCAAAAAAATTTGATGAATGATTGCAGTTGTATAAATGGGCAGGATTTGGCAGCAGTTTATTAAAAATAAAAGCTATTTAAAAAGTGCTAAATTCTACACTGGAGGTTTGAGTGACAGTCTATTTCATCCTCCGTAACACACTGCTAACACCTAATATACTGAGATATCAGGGGCACTCTACTTACTTTAATTACAGAGCAAGAACAACTGGGTTTTTTTTTAGGGTGGAATAATTGTACGGCATATATCTTCAATTACTTAAAAAAACATAAATTGGATGCACAAGTAAAAATATTTATTTTTTATAATCCACATGGTCAAAGGTTTACATGCGGACTCAAAACTATACAAACACTATCTTAACCCTCTGAAGTCAATAGATGTGATTTAAGAGGACCTGGCAGGAAGACAAAGCACTGCTCACTCAACTTGTATCAAAAGTGGGGCTCAAGAGACTGGTACTTTTAAATCCTAACAGTGCAGTGATGTAGATTTTAAGCCCCACACTACAAAAACATATTGAAGCCAACAAATAACCTTGCACACATTCAGTGTTATCTTTTCAAGTAATCTTTATAGATATTTGAGATTCAGGTACTGTATCTAAAACTGTTTTAGTTTGATATATACATATATAAAACTCCCAAATTACTATGGCATTCATCTCAGTGATGAATGTAAACTTTTGACAACTGTATGAGAACCAAAAATCCATCTCTGTGTATCTCTGTTTTATAACGACAAATATAAATTTGACATACCACACAACATTCTGATTTCCATGAGTGTAGCCACCAAAACACCATATTATATAAATATTACTTCAAGATAACTGTTATGAGAAAATCGATTTCCTTTTATCTCTATTGTGTTTACAGTAATTATTATTATTTACATCCTATTAACATGCATATCAGCAGGAGGACAGACACTGGCAAGAGTTGAACTGCTAACAGCCACTGTGTTCATGTAGAAATGCGGTGAACCTGGCGGTGTTAAAGTTGAACGAGCAGGGGCTGCTGGACAAACTGAAAAACAAGTGGTGGTATGACAAGGGAGAATGCGGCAGCGGAGGAGGGGAGAGCAAGGTTAATACACACACACACACACACACATACACTACAGCACACAACACACAGGTGACACTGGGTTATTAAATGTAAAAAGTGTAAAGAAGAAACAGAGTTACAATGCCACATGTGACATCAAACACTAGTAGCTAGCTGTAACCCCCTACAGAAATTGAAGAACAAAGAAAAACTAATACGCTAGAACTACTAGATTTAGCAGATGCAATAAGGAACCAGAACATGTAGCATTGTAGTCTGTAATGCTTCTTTTGCTGATATGTTGCCCCTGTTTGGTTGAGGTCAGGTTCAGAGCACACTTGCAGGCAGATGAGGACTTACAGATCAGGGTCAGGTGACCTCACACCAGATGGTAGCAACAGTGCAGGAGAAGAGCTGTCGATAAAGAGTTTGTGCAACTGCCCAAACTCTATTTATCAATGGCTCTGCCCTGGAGGAGTACTGCTACTGAAAAAGCAGAAAGCCTTTTCGCTGAGCACATCTCATTCTCTGTCTCCAGGGCCAAGCAGAGAGGCCCTGACAGCACAAGATTTTCTTTAAGCAGCTTTGCCAAATTAAACAAGATTATTCCACAGAGTCTTTACAGACTTCCTGTTCATGGTCATGTCTAAATACTTTTAGTATTTAATATTTGACAATCAACAGACAGTGAACTTGCTAAAAGGTGTCTCATACAAAATAAAGAAAGCCATTAGACGATCTTTACAGTGAAAGTAATCTTTTCAAATACTGCAATGAAAGTTTTAATGATGAATAATTAGTAGCACATGAGGGACCTGTCTTGGTGGCTAGACCAGAGTTTGAGAACCGCTGCCTCATTAATAACATAAGATAACATTGATAATGATGTTATTTATGTTATTCCCATTGAAGAGTGCCAGTAAACCTTGCCGTATTGAAACTGAATGAGCAAGGGACCCTAGACAAGATGAAAAACAAGTGGTGGTACGATAAAGGAGAATGTGGCTTCAAGGACTCCACAAATAAGGTTAGTTTTATGTCTGTGGGTCAGTCAAACACACTGTCTGTTCACACATTCAATATACACGGTAAGACTCCACAGTAGTTAGTATGGATTACTTGCAGCTTTAGGTAATGTCAAGAACAGAGACAGTTCAACAATATTCACATGTATAATGCTAACCAAAAAGTGTATTAACAGACCTTTTCTGCCCATTGAGGAAGGAACTATCTTTGAAACAAAATTTATAGGTATCAAGGAAAAGATCTGTCACTGAGGCGCTACCAGTTTGTTGTTAATCTCCTACTCCACCCTTCCCTCACTTGCAAGACATCAAAATACTCCTCCACGCAGCAACTCATTCCTAACCCATAGTGGGCAGTCCATCTATTTCCAGATGAAAATCATGACATCAGACTTGGAGGTACATCCCGATGGACACTGTCAAATGCCTTTTCAAGTCCACAAAACACATTGTTGTGTCCTTGGGCAAGACACTTCACCCATTGCCTACTGGTGGTGGTCAGAGGGCCCGGTGGCAGCCTCGCCTCTGTCAGTGCACCCCAGGGTTGCTGTGGCTACAATGTAGCTTGCCATCACCAGTGTGTGAATGTGTGTGTGAATGGGTGGATGACTGAATGTGTGAAGTGCTTTGGGGTCCTTAGGGACTAGAAAAGCGCTATACAAATACAGGCCATTTTATTTTCCCTTTTTATTGCCGTGACACACACAGTTTCTTTGTCGTTTTTCCCGGCTCAGCACCTATGCGTGCAGCTTTCCAGCTGGAAAAGAGAGCTCATTGACTAAAACACCACACACCTGTGCCACCCCTCCCCTGCAGCTGAGCCATGGACCACACCTCCGACACACACCACCACCGCCCAACTGAGGCTGGGGAGCCATCCGGCTGAACCATCAGGCACTCCTTTTCCTTCCAGCTGATGTAGGGTACGGGCCGGTCGACCCTCCTTGCCTGCTGGGACAAAACGGCCCCCAGCGCTCTGTTTGAGGCATCAGTCTGCAGAAGAAAAGGGATAGAAAAGTTTGGAGTGTGGAGCAGTGGCTCCCCACAGAGATATTTTTTCACCTGCACAAACGCCTAGCACAGCCGTGTCCACTGGACCAGATCTTGAGCACCCTTTCGGGTGAGATTAGTCAAGTGGCTGGTCAGGTCAAAAAACCCGGGCACAAACCAGTGATAGTAACCTGTCAGCCCCAGGAACCGTCTCACTTCTTTTTTTGTCTTGGGGCGCAGGCAGGGTGCAGTAGCTGCTGTCTTTTCTGCCTGTGGACGCACCTGCCTGGCTCCCATGTGGTACCCCAGATACTGTACCTCCCTCTGTCCAACTGCACACTTCTTCGGGTTGGCTGTGAGTCCCACCTGCCTCAGGGACTCCAGGACCACTGCCACCCACTGCACATGCTCCGCCCAGGTGTCACTGTAGATGATAACATCATCCAGGTAGGCGGCAGCATTGCAGCGTGCAGCCACAGCACCCAGTCCATGAGGTGCTGATATGTGGCCGGGGCCCAAACAAGCCAAAAAGAAGTGTACCGAACTGGCAAAAACCAGTTTGCCTCTTATCTGCAGATAAGAGAAACTGTGAGTAGCCCTTGGTTAAATTCAGTGTCATGAAAAAACGAGCCGTGCCCAATTGGTCCAGGGGCTCGTCAACCCAGGGGATGGGTTAAGGATCAAAGCATGACACTTTATTCATCTTTTGATAGTCAACACAGAACCATATAGACCCATCTTTCTTCACTACAAGAACTATGAGGCTACACCAGGTGCTGTTTGGCTTTTCTATTACTCCCATTTTTAGCATTTCAGCCAATTCCATCTGAACAATTTGTCTTTTATGTTCAGGAAGCCTGTAGGGTCATGAATGCACTGTCACGCCAGGTTGCGTTTCAAAATGATGCTTGATGAGAGACGTACAGCTGGTCAGGGGGGAGAACATGTCTGCAAAGCACTGGTGCAATGTGGCAACATCAGCTCTCTGGGCCTGTATGAGATGGTCGTTGCAATGGAGGGAGGTGGGAATGGTGCAATTTGGTACTTCCTGCCCCAACTTATCTCTCTCCTTGACCCGGCTCACCAGAGACGCAGTTTCAGTCTCTCTCCATGCTTTAAGGAGGTTGAGATGACAAATCTGTGTGGCCCCCTCTCTGTCCAACAGCGAGACCTCATAGTCAATGTTCCCCATTCGCTGTGTGACCACAAAGGGCCCTTACCACTTGGTGAGTAGTTTAGAGCTAGAAGAAGGTAGTAATACAAGCACTTTGTCTCCCTGGTGAAAATTGCCTGGCCACTCTGTTATACAGATGCTGCTGACGTTGCTGGACCTTCCTCCCAGCTTTCAAGAATTAGGTTGAGCACCCCACACGGCTTCCTGGCAAACAGTAGTTCAAAGGGAGAAAATCCCATGGTGGCCTGGGGCACCTCCCGCACTGCAAATAGCAGAGGGTCTAACCAGTGATCCCAATTGTGTTCATCCTCATGTATGAACTCCAGAATCATGGACTTTAAAGTCTTATTCAGCCACTCCACCAGCCCGTCAGTCTGAGGGTGGTAGACGCTTTTCTGAATAGATTTAATGCCCCATGATTTGTACAGTTCCTTCAGTGTGCAAGACATGAACCACATGCCTTGGTCAGTCAGTATTTCTTTCGGAATACGGACTCGGGAGATGACCTGAAACAGTGCCTGCACCACACTCTTTGCAGTGATGGTTTGCAACGACACTGTTTCTGGGTGTTTCTGGCATTGCATAATCAACTAGAACCAATACAAAGTGATAGCCACTTGTACTCCGGTGAAATGGCCCGATGAGGTCCATGCCAATACTTTCAAATGGGACCTCCAACAATGGTAGGGGGCGCAAAGTCACTTTTGGTATGGCTGGCTGGTTAATGAGTTGGTATTCCGGACAAGATGCGCACCAGCGGTGCACATCCTCTCGGATACCTGGCCCATAAAATTGGGTCATAATTTGCTCCAGAGTCTTGTCAAATCCCATATGCCCTGTCTTAGGGTTATAGTGAGCTGCCTGGAAAATCATTTCTCATTTCTCAAAATCATTTCGGCGGCTTTGTGGTACCAACAACTGGGTGTGTGTCTCCTCCGTGCGAGTGTCACGACTCACTCGATATAGCCTGTCTTCTAACAATAAACAATGTCCCGCCCTCCATGGCTAGGGTGCAGCGCCAGCCCCTTCCGGGCCCTGGGAAGGCAGAATGGAGAGAAAGAGGTTACTGGGGTGCAGTGTAGGGGGCCCTCCACTGGAGCAGTTGCTGGAACCCATCGCCTCAGCACTGTCACAGGGGCCTGTGTCCCTGTTGGCTGTCTGGCCCCTCCGCTCTGGCTGCCAGCAAAAAGGACCGCCACCCCCACACTCGCGGACTGGTGGCAATGCACCCACCGCTATGTGTCTGCAGACAGCCCTTTTCCATGGACTGCTCCTGCACCACTTTCCCTAGCATGTGGGCCTCCCCTTCTGGACTTCCCGGGCTGTAGCCACCTGGCCAACGCATCATGCAGGTTCCAGGCCCAGGCAAACGGTTGCTCCTCCTCCGTCATCCGGCAGGCCTGGAATCTGCAGTGGCTGCACAGGTGGCATGGCTTGCGGGTCCGACATGGCAACAGGGTTTTTGGCACCAGTGTGAAAATGGACCAAAAGTGGACACACTGTTTATTATTTTTATTTTCCCTTTTTATTGCTGTGACACACACTGCTGACAATTTCTTTGTTGTTATTCTGGCTCGACACTCATGGGCGCAGCTTTACAGCTGCACTCTGACACACCTCTCCACTCTCTGCTCCGGCTTCACTAAATCACACAGGAAGAGAGAAAGAGCTCAATAACTAAAATAAAACACACCTGTGCCACCAACCTCCCTGTCACTGCCCCTTGAGCTCACTGCTCCACCCCTCCCCTGCAGCTGAGCCATGGACCACACTTCTGCATGTATTCTGTTTAATTGGGCAAATTCCCATGTCTGCTGCAATTTCCACAAGAGGAGAACTGCTCTGATGTTCCACAACCAGAAAGCTGAGAAGTTGATACCCCTTGAAGTTTTACCACAACTACCAGTCCCTTTTCTTAAAAAGAGGAACCATCACTCTAGTTTGCCAATCCAGGGGTACCACCCCAGACCTTCACAGTGTTAAAGAGGCATATCAACCAACTCTGGGCCAAAATGGCAAGAGCCTTGAGGAACACAGAGTGAACAGATTGGTTGTGGTCTCTCTGGGTGCAGGGCCCAAGTGATGTGCAAGTTGTTCCCCTCATCCACCAATTACCTTATGGTAATAGTTCCCGACAGCTGCTTTAGCCTTAGATGAATAATACTGTCCATTCAAACACTGTACCCAGCCTGCCTTGGAATGCTGCTGTGGGAGTTGAAGATCTCACAGATCTGGGTTGTAGCCAGCTCACTCAGTGTATTTTATTGTGCAGCTGATGTGTCTGGCTTCTTCCCCCACTACGTGATCCAACTGACTACCAGATACTAAACAGTTACAGGTTCAGCTCCTCTCTTCATCCAAGTGTTCAATACATATAGCTGGTTTTAGAACCTAAGATGTACAAGTTACGTGATTAGGTGAGTCCAACTCAACCTCATGTCTCTCTCAACTTCATGGACAAGCTCAAGGTCCTTCCCCTTTAAAGAGGTCAGATTCCGTGTCCCTGTAGCCAAATTTGAAATCTAAATTTCAGAACATCAGGGCCTCTACTTTCCCAACACCCCAGCCATTACCATACATACCATACATTGCAGGCTCTTTGTTCTCAGGCGCTTGCGCTCGCTCCACTGTGGAGCTCAAGAAAGGTAACTTGGGCCCTTGGTTTTTCAATCATCATAAGACTGTTCTGAATTGCTCTTAGTCTAGCCTCTCACCCAGGATCCTATGAGGTGCCATCGGCCCTAGAAACATAGCTTCCAGGATCACTAGGGCATACAAACCTCTCCAACATGGTAACGTAAAAAAATCAAAGGAGGGGGTGACAGATATTTATTTCTGTTATCATTATTTAGTATTGTGAAGCTTGTCCCAGTTCCTGACCTTTTTGACACCAAGGTTGCAATAATCACTTTGAAATATTCTAATAATCTGAGATCCTGACTTTTTGATTTTCATTAACTTGAGGCCATAATCATTGAAAATAAAACAAAAAAGGCTTGAAATATTTCTTATATGCAGAGATACAGAATGATTAAGGTTGAGGACAGTGTGCTACATGTAAAGTTTTAATCTAGGTCATTTATAATATATTTAGCTTGACTGATTTAGGTTCAGTTTGAGTCTACTTTTGAGTAGACCTTCCCAGTAAATAAAGTTAGCTATTAATATAAGAGCATGCCGCTAGAACTTTCTCTGGGGTTTCTGATGATTTTTCTTCCTTGTGTGTGTGTGTGTGTGTGTGTGTGTGTGTGTGTGTGTGTGTGTGTGTGTGTGTGTGTGTGTGTGTGTGTGTGTGCATACTAGGAGAAGACCAGCGCACTCTCTCTTAGTAATGTAGCAGGAGTCTTCTACATCCTGGTTGGAGGTCTGGGATTAGCCATGATGGTGGCACTGGTCGAGTTTTGCTACAAGAGTCGTGCAGAAGCCAAAAAAATGAAGGTATATGATCTTTAGAAGTACAAGCTGAATTTGAATTTCAATCTTAAACAATAATATAAGATTATATATTAACAATGTTGAAATAAAGTTTATTGAGGATTCTCACTAAAAACATGATGTGAAACATGATGGAATTAATCCTCCACAAACAGAAAGGTCTTACGGTTAATGAATCGTGAAAGTGATAACAGTATACCAGTGGATTCCACTATCTGATACTAATTAGTACTAAAAATTAATGAATTTTAAATTAATAGTAAAAAAGGCTTCCCAGTGTTTTAAGTGTTCAAATTTCAAATCTTTTTATTTGTTTTAAAGATTGAAAAATAGCATGACTCACAGAACAATACAATCACAATAACAGGTGCTAAGAGCTATCAGGTTAAAGAAAAATTGGTGGAGAGTCCCTATGAGAGTGTCCCCAAAAGGGTCATGGACCCCCTATTGATCCTCTACTGAGTCACAGGAGCCAAGGTGTGAAACCTAGCCCAGTCCTATCATGGCCAGCCTGGGCCATTTGAGGTCAAATGGCCCAGGCTCTTAAAACGTGGTAATCCCAATTGGTCTTTCATCAAGTCAGCAAAGATGCACAAAAAGAAGACCAGACTCCAACTAGGGACGACCAGAAATGGGACTCTCTAACAATTGTGCTTAGAACTGAAGAAGCTTCTCAGATCAGAGGTGAAACGTTTTCAAGGAAACTTTAAAAAGTCCAGATGTTTTTTTTCCAAGCTCCGTAGACTACGATGACCTGGATGTCTGAGAACCTTCACAGACACATTATGCACTGTCACTTCTACTACTACTGATATCCATTTAGATTCTTTTCTCTAACTTAAGTACTTCATACAAACCTGTGTCTATTAGACCCCATTTCTATAAGACAGCTCTAAGAATGGAATGGAAGTAATTAATGCTTCAGTCTTATTACAATCTGTCTGACTCTATTAATGGGCTACATACCACAGGCTTTTAAGGGGGGGCAGTAGTTAAACTCTTACTTGAAAAGCCATCACTTAACCAAACTGTCTTAGCTATAACAATACACCAAATTTCTTTTTATCTCTAACTTTCTTGAAGGAGTAGTTGTAAAACAGCTTACTGATTTGCAGAGCAGTGGTGTAAAGAGTTTCAGTCAGGTTTCAGAGCTTATCACAGCAAAGCAAAGCATTAATGAAATGATGTTGTGGGCTCTGACTGTTGACTCATCTCAGTCAGTGCGATGTTTGATCCTGTTAACCATATTTTATTACAGATTACAGCATGCTGTAGGTATTAAGCGTATGAGGTGGTTTCCATCTTATCTATCTAATAGACTTTATTCCTGGCCTGGCCCCAACCGATCACGGCAAATGGCTCCCCCTCCCCGAGCCTGGTTCTGCAGGTTTCTGGAAGTTTCTTCCTGTCAAAAGGGAGTTATTCTTTCCCACTGTCCCCAAAGTGTTTGCCCGTAGGGGGACACATAATTGCAGGGATTTTCTCTGTTTTCCTTGCATTAATTTTTTTATATTAGAAGACAAAGTACCTTGCGGCAACTGTTGTTGTGATTTGGCTCTATATAAATAAAATTGTATTGACTTGAAATGAAACTTGTTGAGAATAAGGGGAGAGAGACAGGGCAAAAAAACACAATGTGACTCTTGAACTTGGGCTTTAGACTTGAATAGGGAAAATTTCAACTGCTGTGCACATTTCAGCAGAGGTGACTTTTTACCAGGTCTACTGAATGGACGCAGCTACGGTGTAAATATTTAAAATCAACAAACCCACCCACCCCACTGATATTGCCGTGAAAATACTCAAAGCCTGACAAAGCAGACATCGGCATTACAAGAGAGCTTGCCAAACTTGGTGAGTCAACTCCAGCTCATATCAGGAAGTGTATAGGACGTAAGGAAATGCAAAAGCATTGTGACCCAGACATAAGAGCATGACTGCAGCAGTATCTGGTTTAGCAAAAATACTTGGCGTACTTGGAAATATAACTGGAACACTGAGTTTAAGCTTCACTCATCATGGATGACAAGGATTGGATGGACTGATAAGGAAGTGTCCTGGAGACCAGAGAGAAACCAGACATATAGGTCATGTATACCATACACTTTACATGATGCAAATGTAAGCATATTATACCTACATTTGTACATAATCACAGTTCTACAAGTAAAGTCAAGTTTGTCAGGATGTCATTTGGATGTTAGTTTATTTTAATGAATTGATTTCAGAATATGGCATTGGGAGCACTTTTGAGTGTCAAATGGTAAAACAGCCAGCACAATGACCCTTTAAACAATTGCCACACATGTGTACGTTAAATGTAGGCCTACGGTGTTAGTCTGACAAACAGAGTCATTATAATGGAAACAGGCTTCGGTAACTGACATGCTTCGGGTACAGATGTGGCCATGGTTGTAGCGCTGCTCTGGTGATGTGGTCAGGCTTTGAACCTGTGTCATAATCCATGAGTCTAAGGGGTAATTTCCATGAACACCTTGAACTAAGATGATCATCATAATGAAATCCTGATGATTGGAAAATAAAAAAGATACTCCTAAAAGCCAATCTTCTCTATACTCTCCGTCCTACAGTTTTTGAAAAAGTCTGCTCCCCTGGAAATCAGAGGCATCATAAACAGACCCTGGATACACCCCTGGATATCACACTTATTATAATGTTTATAGATTAGCAAAATACTTGCACAATAATTGAGAATGTGTACTTCCTATTATGGAACACATGGTCAGTTTCAGGGATTAACAATACATGTATTTGGTTAGTTTGAAACTCCTGTTTTACTTGCTGAAGGGCATCCTCGCTAGTTGGGAATGAGCTGGACCTCTACACTCTTTTCATTAGTAACGTCACCCCCTGGAACAAAGCTAATAAAATCCCTGCCACAGAAGCTATAGTACATTGAAATGAACTCAACACCAAAAGCTGAAGAGCTGAAAGAAGATTGGTTCCTGTGCTTGGTAATCTATATGTTTTAATCACATTTTTGTCTGACATTCCTAATAAACTGACACAATCAGAATCAGAATCGTGTTTACTGGCCAAGTATATTTGCAGACACATACAGGGAATTTGGTTCCGGTAGATAGTGGCTCTCAAGCACAGCAATGTAAATCTCACACACACACACACACACACACAGACACATACAGGGAATTTGGTTCCGGTAGATAGTGGCTCTCAAGCACAGCAATGTAAATCTCACACACACACACACACACACACACACACACA